TGCTGGCAACACGCAGGATGTTTATGAGACTGGTCCATTTCATTACTGCTCAGAACACCACAGGCAACAATACACAGAAGCATGACAAGGTTTATTCTGCTGACTGAATTATGGAGGTGACTGGAAGGGAAATGATTATGAAAAAAAAGTATGGAAGAAAGCAAATTTCCCATTTGATAGAGACAAATACATTTATTACAGTCCCATTTCCAACACTGAGATGCCAGTTTCCCATTCTTGCTTGACTTATTGGGACTATGGTAATTCCCAAAATATGCTAGGTGGTTTTCAAACACAGAAGAGTTCCTGCCCCAAACTGCCTGCAATCCAAAAGAGCACGATCTTAGATGCATTACTACAACAAATCCATTATGTCAGTTCTTTTATTCATAATCAGTTTTGTCCAAATTGCTATATTCAGCTTCTAGCAGTTTTAGTCTGCTTTAAAAAGCTGTGATTTTTAAAGATGGTATCCAAAAAGACACTGACTTTGGAGAGGGCTCCTTTCTGATGAACCTATCTGAAATCCTAACATCCTTCAAGGCATGTTTAGTATTTAAAATCTGCTTGTTTTTCTTGCCTGGCTGTGAATGAACATTCATAGTTGATATGGTCTTCCATTATAACAACATCACGTTTAATATTCTTTGTCAGAAAAAGAAGCATACTGATGCTCATCTTGGCAAAATAATTATGCCATATGTTAACTGACTATTCAGTTCTATTAGTCTATAAACAGAACAGTAAGAAAACAAGATTTGATGGCTTGTATAGTATTTCACTAACATTTACAAAAGATGATGTGTATTTTACATATCAGCTCAATTGTGCAAATTCGTATCCAGTGGCATTATATTATGTTTAGAAGGTGCATTTCAACTGTGAAGAGAATTTGGAAGTTACAGTCAACCTCCAACAAACAGTGAGAGGAGAAAAGTCCAAATTATTGAAAGGATAAATATTTAAGTTCCATTTAAGGATGGCAATTGGAATATTTCTTCCTTTAGCTAATATAACTGGGCTTAATAGTTAAGGGGAAGACTAGATTTTACAAATACATTTAGCTAGCACAACACTAAGATTTAGATAGCATATTCCCAGCTAAACATTAAGAAATCAAATAGAGGTAACATTTATCCTGGGTATTTGCAAGCAGTCGAAGCTTATCTGTCCTCTGACAATACAGCATCACAGATCTGATGAGAGACAATCATTGCTCTGTACAATTTTCTTAAAAAGCACAACAAATTTAATCAAAACCTGATTAATGGGAAAACGTATTAAATATCAATAGCCCTAAAATAACGTGTAAATATATATTCTTCTTCGTGTGCTTGTTCACGTCGATTCCAATCAGGTGTGCACGCGCCGTGTGCATGGTCATCTAAACTTTTCCCTTAGCAGCTCCCATCGGGTCGGCTGTGGAGCCCCCTGGAGTGGCACCTTCATGGCACTCAATATATGACCCTGCCAACTTGACCCCCCCATCAGTTCCTTCTTGCCGGCTACTCCGACAGAGGGGAAGGAGGGTGAGTACTGGAATGGACGTGAACAACACATCTCAAAGAACAACAGTTACGAGAAGGTGAGTAACTGTTTTTTCTTCTCCGAGTGCTTGTTCACATCGATTCCTATCAGGTGACTCTCTAATTCCCAAGACAAAGGTGGGTCTCAGACCCATTTTAGAACTGGAAGGACTCAACCAGTTCATGGTAAAGTTGAAGTTCCGCACGGTCTCCCTGAGCACTATTATCCCTTCCCTGGATCCAGGAGACCGGTACGCAGCTCTTGACATGAAAGACACGTACTTTCACGTAGCCGTTTGACCTGTGCATAGACATTTTCTCCGGTTTGCGCTCAACCACAAACACTATCACTTTACAGTCCTCCCATTCGGTCTGTCGACAGCCCCCCGAGTATTCACCAAGTGCATGTCGGTCGTAGCAGCCTTCTTCCGGAGGAGGTAGGTGCAGGTATACCCATACCTAGACGACTGGCTGCTCAGGGGCTGTACCAGGGAGCAGGTAGAGTCTCGTGTACGATTGGTCAGGTCCACTTTCCAGAGATTGGGAATCCTCATCAACATGAACAAGTCAATCTTATCACCGACCCAAAGAATAGAATTCATCGGAGTGGTATTGGACTTGGTATAGGCAAGTGCATTCTTGCCAGAGACCCGTTTCCAGGCCATGACAGACATTATTCAAAGCCTCAGGGGTACCCGACCACTACTGCAAGGGGATGCCTGAGTCTCCTGGGACACATGGCGGCCTGCACGTACTTAGTCAAACATGCCAGAATGAGACTCAGAATCCTTCAAGCGTGGCTCGCCCAGATATACCGACCAGGGTGTGACAGGTTGGACTCGGTAGTGACAGTGCCAGGACACATACTCGAGTTCCTACCATGGTGGCTCAACCCTCAGATGGTATGCGAAGGTGTCCCCTTCAACAGTGCACCGCCCTCCTTGTCCCTAATATCAGACACGTCAGATCTGGGTTGGGGGGCAAACTTGGGAGATCTCCGAACACAGGGCCTGTGGTCGCGGGACGAGCTCTCCCTTCATATCAATATCAGGGAGCTCAGAGCAGTGCAACTGGCATGCCAAACTTCCCAGTCCCGGCTACAAGGCCAAAACGTGGCAGTGATGACGGACAACAGCACTGCTATGTTCTACATCAACAAACAGAGTGGAGCCCGTTCTCCCCACCTATGTCAAAAAGCCCTCCAGCTATTGGAGTTCTGCATAGCCCACTCCATTCACCTGGAGGCATCTTATCTCCCAGGAGCACAGAACAAGCTAGTGGATCATCTCAGCAGATCGTTCTGCAACCACAAATGGTCCGTCCATCCATCCATCCAGATGTTCTTCATCCCACCTTCCAAAGGTGGGGATTTCCCCAGGTCGACCTATTCACCACCCGGAGCAACAAGAAGTGCCCAATGTTCTGCTCCTTCCAGAAACACAGCCTGGGTTCAATCATGGATGCGTTTCTGCTACCTTCGGGAGACTGCCTCACGTATGCCTTCTCACCAGTCCACTCATACATTAGGTGCTGCTCAAGATCTGCAGGGACAAAGCGGAGGTGATTCTTCTCGCCTCAGCATGGCCCCGTCAACACTGGTACACCACGCTTCTGGAGCTGTCAGTGGACACCCCAATCGTGCTACCACTCTGCCCTGATCTGATCACTCAGGACCATGGTCACCTCTACCATCCAGACCTCCAGTCCCTCCACCTCACGGCCTGGAAGCTTCATGGTTAAACCCCATGGAGCTCCTATGTTCAGAGCCAGTAAGGGAGGTTCTTCTCGGCAGCAGGAAACCTTCCACCAGGGCTACTTATCTAGCCAAGTGGAAAAGATTCACTTGCTGGTGTGCCCAGCAACACACACCTCTACTCCAGTCTATGCCACTCATCCTGGAGTACCTTCTGCATCTCAAACAGCATGGCCTAGCAGCGTCATCTGTCAAGGTGCATCTTGCTGCTATCTTAGCCTTCCACCCAGGAACATCTGGACGCTCCATGTTCGCTAACCCCATGATAGGACGTTTCCTCAAGTGTTTGGAATGCCTATATCCACAGATCAGGCGACCGGTTCCCGCATGGGACCTTAACCTGGTCCTCACCAGGCTCATGGGGCCCCCTTTTGAACCACTGGTGACTTGCTCCCTGTTCTATTTGTCGTGGAAGGTATCCTTCCTGGTAGCCATCACATCAGCAAGGCGGGTGTCCGAATTAAAGGCTCTGACCTCCGGCCCACCCTATAAGGTCTCTCACAAGGACGAAGTGCAGCTCAGGCCTCACCCAGCCTTCCTCCCCAAAGTAGTGTCATAATTCCACATTGGTCAAGACATTTTTCTACCTGTCTTCTATCCTAAGCCTCACACCAGTACCCAAGAGCAGAGACTGGACTCACTGGATGTTCGAAGAGCGCTAGCATTCTACATCGAGCGCACGAAACCGTTCAGGAAGTCGAACCAACTGTTCATGGTGGTAGCAGACTGGATGAAAGGACTCCTGGTCTCATCTCAAAGAATATCTTCCTGGATCACATCCTGCATCCACACGTTACAAGTTAGCCAAGGTCCCAGTCCCAACTCTTATGGCACGTTCCACAAGGGCACAAGCCTCATCAGCTGCGTTCCTGGCCCAGGTCTCGATAAAAGAGATCTGCAGGGCAGCAACTTAGTCATCGGTGCTTACGTTTACCTCTCACTATGCTATCACCCAACACAACAGAGATGATGCAGCATTCGGCAAGGTGGTGCTCCAATCAACGATTCCTTAACTCCAACCCCACCTCCAGGGTAGAGCTTGGGAGACACCCAATTGGAATCGACGTGAACAAGTACTCGAAGAAGAAAAAACCGTTACTCACCTTCTCGTAACTGTTGTTCTTTGAGATGTGTTGTTCACGTCCATTCCAATACCCATCCTCTTCCTCCCCTCTCTCGGAGCAGCCAGCAAGAAGGAACTGAAGGGGGGTTGGGTCAGCAGGGTCATATATTGAGCGCCATAAAGGTGCCACTCCAGGGGCTCCACAGCCGACACGACAGGAGCTGCTAAAGGAAAACTTTCCAACGACCATGCACGCGGCGTGCACACATCTGATTGGAGTGGACGTGAACACCACATCTCAAAGAACAACAGTTATGAGGTGATAAGTAAACATTTTCTCTACTCAACCAAGCATATTTCAAGATCAGCGTTCAACACTGTCCTGCAAATGAACTTCAAGCTTGACTTGCAAGAGTCACTTACTTGGTAGACAGAAGCAGATAACATTACCAAACCAGGTTATTTCCATTAGCAAAAAGAAAGTGTCTATTTAATACCATGAAACAGAACATCATTGCACACACCACACTATGACCTAAATTAGGAATCCAAAATGCTTGCCCAATATTTTATGGTAGCACTCAAGTGTCAGATTAGATGGATTACAGTCAGGCTGATTTTAGAAGGTAAATCTATTCCTCGATCAGTTCTACTGTGTTTATGCTTTCTAAAAAAAAAAAAAAAAAAAAATCACCTATTATCACCAATCTAAGTGCCTGCTCAAGCAATAGAAAACTAATGAAAATTAAATGTAAAAGTGTCATTCATTCCAAATAAATAAATTACCACATTTATTGTAGGATTTGAGCGGTCTCTATCTACTGGGGTTAATCTCTTCCAATGGAAACTGGACATGCCTGAAGGTTGCTAAAACATTGCTTGTGGATCTCTATCCCTGTTCCAGGGTGGTGGTGGTGGAGGGATGCTACTCTCCATTACCATATGTATTCAGGAACTGAATGTATAATTTTTAAGTTAGGCAAAGGTTTTAAAATTGGTAGTAAATTCTCAAAACCCAGTATATATATATATATATCTACTAGCAAGATTTCAGAAACAGGCATCTGACGTAAAACATTTTGGAAAAAAAATCTTGGCTCTATATTCACAAATATATACACAAATAAAAATGTACTAGAATCCTATTCTCTGAAGCACTGTGGTCCAGAAAGACACCCCTGTAATTTGCACAACCTGGCACAACTGCACAGTCATTCCTTACTAACACTGAGCTCACTATCCATGTAAAAATAGTAAGTTGCTTGGCTGCTCTAATAAATCCCCCAAGCAGCAAGTCCACTGTGACACGTTACACATTGGTAACACCAAGTAATTCCAATGCTCCCCCACCTCTGCTCCCTCCCCCCAAGCATAATATCACTTCAGTCATTTTATGCTGGATGATTTTAACACACACAAAAACTCGACAAATAGAAAATATTAAATCAATTCACCACACAGTTGAACTCCTCATGCTTTGACTTCATGTAGCAGTTTGCTTTCTTTACATTATGATCAGTGAAATATTTGTTATCCATTGAAAGTAACTATAATTAGCTCAAGATAGTAAAGTGATATCCATGCCTTCCTTATGTTACCACATTTTAACCAAAAAGAGTGTAAGCCACAAAAGTTGGAATGCATAAAGTTTGCCTGAAAATTATGAGACAAAGACTAAAACCACAAAAGTACATTCAAACATTTAGGATAGTGCGAAGACTATAAGTCAGCAGTTTAACTATTTGGGGAATAATTTCCCAGTTCATGAAGAAAAGAGGGAAACTACATTTTAAGGCTAATCCTGCCCAAAGTTCTAACTAATTGGCTTGATAAGGTACTTAAAATGGGGACCATTCAGAAGCCAGGTCTTGGGTAAAATCAGCCAGCCATCTCTATAAAGTGCTCTAGCAGGGAACAGCACTAACAAAAAGATGACCTTCAAAGCAACATTCTAAACTAGAACCAAAAAATCCTGCCAAATAGAAAACTAAACTATTCTGATTCAGTCAGCCAGAAAGAACTCCACCTTATAGTAAAAGCCATCATGAAAGATCCAGGGATCACTCACTGAAATATTCAGTATAATCAGAAGGAATTTAACAGGGGAAAGACCACATTGATTAGAGTTATAAACCAGTTCAGATGTTTTAAACTAAGATTTATACAGAAAAGAGGAGGGAAAACATTTTTTTTTCTATAAAGCTTCTTAGGTATCAAGTGTGAAGATTAACATTCCCTGGAATAAAACTGATGTAGATAACAAGCTAACTATACCTCAAAATTTTGTTCCATCAAGTTACCACCTTTACTCAGGCTTTCCATGATGGCCTTATTTCGAAGAATATCTTCCTCACTGAGATGTTCTCTTCTTTTCCTAGATTCTAAAACAAGTCCATTGACCAAGTAGAAGTCTGCCAAGAAGTTTCCTACTCTTTCCTGTAAGATAGATATCTGACATTAATGAACTCAAAAGCTACGGTAAAATAACTTAAATCAGGAATATTCAAAGACTAAAATGACTCTGTTACATGATACATTTAAGAACATAAGAATGAATGTTATACTTTAAGTCACTTGTACTGACAGAGCACTTTCATTAACACTGAATACCTCCAACAATGTAAATGAAAGTGCAGCAGAAACACTGGCTGCCCTTGCCAGGATTTCTTTGGGGATAAAAACTTACATTAGCACAAAACATCTATTTATTTCCCAAAGAGCTAATCTAAAGATGGCAAGGGGAAACATGTTTCTTCTTCTGTGGCTGGTACGTTCTAGAACAGCTGACTGTATCAACTGATATTTATACATATGACTTATTTTTTGCACCTAGAGTTTACATTTCATAAAATGGAAAAAGCAAAAATTAGAAAAACATGGTCAGATATGAGCTAACTTTTGAGTGACATCACCTAATGCTTCAAAAGAAGGCAAATATCTTCCCCCACACAGGAGAACAACAGGCAGTATATCTATACCTAAGGAGAAAAAAACATTCCTTTCATTGCCTTACAAATGAGCGCTAGTACCTCTCAGACAGGTTGGATTTTCCATGTGTCTAGGTTGCATAGCAGGAAGTGTTACTTTATCTAATCCTTTAAAAAAAACACTGAAATTATTTGCCATTACTCTTGGTATTACTGTATGCAGTTTAGTAATTTAAAATTATAAATGGTATTACTTTCTACTTTACAGCTTTGAGTGCCTCTATTCTTGTAGAATGAGAGAAGAAATAGTAGCCCCACACAATTTTTGTTAACTCCTTTAATTGTTTTTAATACCTCAGGGCCTGATCTTATGAAATGCTGAGCACCACCTCCTGTGTTCAATGGAACATAAAGAAGCTTGTAGGATCAGGTCCTTATTTCCCAAATTTTAGTCTCATCCCTCCCAATCTGCCTTTCTGCACTAAATAATCCTAGAGTAGGTCATCTCCAACATCACAGGTAAATCCCCAACCCCATGTCTCTGACCACTGTTGATATCTCTGCTTCATCCTCTTTGAGATGATCAAACCCGAACAAGTGTAAGGTACTGGCATTCTGTATGTTCACAGTTTCTACAGCTGTAAGAGCAGTAACAATTGTAGAGAGAGTTTGGGTTTTTTCCCTTTGTTAATTCAAATTAATGTAGATTTCTGCAAGCTCTAAATGTATCTTGTCGAAGTGCAAATACAGTGAGCTGTATTTTCTGTCTGTACCTGACAATGATGCAGTCTAGTGTAGATTTCGGTGGAATCGGAAGACACAGGGGCATAAAGTATATTGAGCTCAATTTCTACTCAGAGTTCCAAATTAGCAGGTGTTTCTTCAAAAATGATCAGCCAGAACACAGTTAAAGTTAGTACACCAACGTACTCTGGGTGCCTGCTGACTAAGCTGACTTAACTGTTGCATTTTTCAGGTGAATCCCCATGGGATTTCTACACTGTATGCTTTAAACATTTTTTAATAAAGTTGTATTTTTGCATAATCTTTGTATCTGCCTTTGCTGTCTAGGATCTGGAATGTCAGAGGAATGGGCAGAGCACCTAGGTCAGCTGATTATTGCCTCACCTATCATCTTGCTTGCCCTGAATGGGGAGCTGGTAGGAGAAGCAAAAACTGGCTGAAAACTGCATGCTGGCAAGAGGGGAGTGGTTTAACAGGGGACCTAGCAAATGCTGTCAGCTATCAGAAATAGCCTTTGGGAGTTTTTAAGTTGAAGTGTCTTCATTAGCCAGAGATAATAAAACGAGTGCCTGAACAATAACCGCTATGACTTCTCTTCATCCAATCCTCTGAAAAGGAATTAATATGCTTTCTGCCATTGTTTTGGTTTCTATCTATCTGTTTTAATATGTCAACTATTACTGTGGCATCTAAACACTGATTCTGTCCAAGCTATAGCAAAATATTTAAACATCTTCATTCTCAAGTCTTCATTACAAGATCTTGAATTTTCCTATTCCCCTACTTCCGACTTCAGGTCTTCATAATCTCTTGTTCATTCTCTACTTCTACTGTGGAATACTGCACTTTTCTGTCCCCTTTCCTGTCTCTTCACAATGGGTCATAGATCCTTTAACTACACTGCTTACACTGCCTTCACTATCTGGCACAGACTCTGCTTCAACCATGAACTTAAAAAACCCTCTTCCTCCATGGCTTACAACTCAAAGAGAGGTGAGATTTAACATGATAAAAATGTTGAAGACAAACACACACTCCTTACTCTCCTCTTTTGCATTAACACCATCTGCCAGTGCTATTTTGAACACAGTAATAAAGAAAGGGCTGGATAAGACAGAGAGGCTCTGTTCAGACTTACTGTTTTGTCTTCTCTGAAAAGCCATCCTGTTTGGGCACGCGTGAAGGTAATTGATTTGGTTGATAATGTTGCTGAATAAATATCACTGCTCATTAAAATGTCAACTTCTTCCTCCGTTTCCATCTCAGATTCCTGGAGCAAAAGAAATCCTAAAATACTGAACAGTACTTACTGATTATTTTAAACTTTCTAATTTTTACAAGCAGACTGTACATGAATAAGTCTTATCCTTTTAATTGGACAATTTTTCTCCCCCAGAAAATTATGGATGCTTCAAGAAGTAGCTATTTTATTGGAATTATTCAAAAAATGTCCTATAACATTGGCATCATAGTACCTTATACAATTGGTATTACAGGAGGAGGCACATGGTCTAAAACTGTGCCAGCCAAATGTACTAATAATTTAATGTACGGGTACATTCTCAATTAGTTTAACATTACTATACCACCAATGGAAAAAACAGATTCAAACAGTTTGTCTGGTGCTGGGGGGAAGAAGAAGGGGGGAAAAAACAAACAAACAAAACAAACAGCATCACCGTCCCTAACTTCAGTGGCGATATGTTTACAACTCTGCTCCAATTTTTCTCTGTTTCCATGGAAAGGGACAGATAGCTGTCTAAAATCAGTTAAGAAGCTTTAAAGTTATTATTTGAAAGCACCTTGCCCCATTTTGTTGATTTTGCATCTCCATCCATGTGAACAGTAGCTTAAAGTTGGGTACAGAACCTGACTTTTTAGCAGAATACACATTTAATGTAAGTATTTCATTAGTACTGAAAACATATAGGTATAAGGGAATATGTTTAACATTGTGTATATATGCAGCTGCTCACCTCATGATGTATTCGCTGATAAACTTTTTGTTCGTTGTCTAAAACTACAAAAGATTCAGAGGGTGTTGCATCACCATTGAAAATGAAGCTTAAATCCCCTCGTTGGCACTTCATGTCAGTAAAGTCTATGAGAGTTGTGTCAAGCCTGTGGAAATATACCCACGGTAAAGCACCTTTGCAAAAGGAATTATCCAGAAATGTTCAAATACACAAATGAGTTCTATTAGCATCCAACAGCATTGCTTTTCCCCCAAAAATGGTATAGTAAAGTCTACATTTTCATTGTGTTTTAATATAATTATTATTGCAAATTTCACTTATATAAATAGGCAACAAATTACTACTTTTTGCTTATACAGTAAATTCCAAATGTAGTAAAGATATCTGTATAAATGCAAACTAAGGTTGTGGCACAAATGCATAGGAAAATGTATAGGGATTCAATTATATAAATGTGGCGAAATGTACAGAATTCAATGTGACTTAGTCCTACATTACAAATACAGTTCAGGGGATTTTTATGTTACTTTCATGGCAAAAGATAATGCTTTCCTTTCATATTGTATCAATATAGCAGAATTACAAATGGAAAACATTTTAAGAAAAGCTGCCACTGCATCCTTTTGCCCTCAAAACTGCATGGTATCAGGATACTGACTGATTTTACCTGGCATACAAATACACTGAGAGGAATTTCCCTAAACATAAGTGGCCACATTCTGATATGTGTTATTCAGTGTGAACGAGGATTACTGAACAGTTTCACTGATTTCAGCAAGGTTGCGAGTAATGGTATCAGGATCTGGCCCAAATTGAGAAGAGGACCAGTAACAGAATGAACTTTGCATTGCCTTGTTTTTGTCATATTTAGCTAGATTATTTCCAGCCTTTTATTTATTTTCTTGTACTTTCAGCAGCATAGGCACAGGGCAGGGGTAGGCAACCTATGGCACACGTGCTGAAGGTGGCGCGCGAGCTGATTTTCGGTGGCACTCACACTGCCCGGGTCCTGGCCACCGGTCTGAGGGGCCCTGCATTGTAATTTAATTTTAAATGAAGCTTTTTAAACATTTTAAAAATCTTATTTACTTTACATACAACAATAGTTTAGTTATATATTATAGACTTACAGAAAGAGACCTTCTAAAAATGTTAAAATGTATTACTGGCACGTGAAACCTTAAATTAGAGTGTATCAACAAAGACTCTAAAAGGTTGCCGACCCCTGGCATAGGGAATACTTCTACCTGTCAAATTAAGAGTTGAGTGGAGCATGAAGTTTTCCCCTGATATAATTCCTGTGGGCTGCCTCCAAAATGTGTGTTTTTACAGACAGCTAAAGCCACCAACCAGATTTGTTTAGTCTAACAGCCACTAGTTCTTAAGCAATATTTTTAAAATCAGTTATGCCATTTATTCATCTTTTAAATTCAAGACAATATAGGGTATTCTCATGTAGATTCACTCTCAACTCCCATTACCATTAATGCAAGTAGCATGTGCGCAGAGAAGAGACTCAGACTGGTCTCAGTGAGAGCTGACCTAAAAAGTCAGAACATATTTCTGTGTTAAAAGCTTTAAAGAGAGCAGCAGTTTCTTTGAATAATTTATTATTCTGATTTTTTTGATTTTGGAGCTTAAAGGGAAGAGACACTTGAATCCAACAAAGAATATTACAGCTAATTAAAGAGCTCGGCTGGAAAAGTTGTAGAAACAAAATGGTTTATAACTCTTGCCTCTCAGAATTTGAACATTTGTTCTCTGAAGTTATAGTAACATTTGCCACTGATGTTTTATAGAGCAGCCACATTTCTGAACAAAATATAACTGACTCACTGAGACATGAATGTGTTACATGACAGATAGTCAGGTACAACTGAACTATTTGTTCCCGGAACTGACTCAGTAAGAAACTAACCAGAATTCATTCTCCAACCATTTGAATTTAAGTTATAGTTATCACTGTCTAGTTAAGTTTCAGAAGCACTTCAGTAATTACAACACTTGTTAGTCAAGAGCATCATCTGAGCTGACTTTTAAGAAAACCAACTTTAACACCTAGAAGAGCAGAAAGCTGCATTCCAATGCACAAGAAATATCAGAAAACACTTATTCCAAAGATATTAAAAACATACTAGGCTGCCTTTGCAAGCATTTACAGAATTGAATCAAATAAGAATTTAGATTAGGCATCAAAGAATCTAAAAGGCGATAAGTGGAGAAGATTTACTCAGATATATAGTGCATCCTGCGTCAAAAGAGATTTTCCCATTAGAGTGTTCTTTGATGCTTTGTCACTTGAACTGGACAGGACAAGTTATAATGCATTTCACTACATTCCACAAAACACTGTTATACAATAGGTCTCTCGATTTACAGATTTTCCTTGACTAAGTTTCTTCCCTTAATTTTATCCTATTACTCCCAATTATGCCTGAGATAGAGTTAAGTACAGTCAACAGTAATATCCCACTCCTGTTTGGTATTAGAATAATTGTAAATGCTTGTTTGATTCACTTCCATAGAGACCCCTGAAACATAATCATTACATAAAGCAATTTTTAATTTGAACAGAACTAAACCTTTGCAACTAGCTCAGAATGCAGATCTCAGTTATTTGCAAGGCAGTTCTAGTCTGTTAAATAAACAGAGGCTTTTTTTGTTTTTAAAAAGGACAATGTGCAACTTCTTCCTCCTCCTCCCCACCCTCCCCCGACTGCCCTTCTATAAAAAAAAGAAAAAAAAAAAAAAAATCATGCAAGCATAACACTGTTTCGGAAAGCTCTAAAGGCTGGAGCCATTTATAGCAGGGGTGGGCAAACTACAGCCTGCGGGATTGCCACCCCCGTGGCACTGCGGACCCCACGCCGCTTCCAGAAGTGGCCGGCACCACGTCCCTGCACCCCTGGGGGACGGTGGGGAGGGGAGAGGGCTCAGCGCGCTGCCCTCGCCTGCAGGCACCGCCCTCCGCAGCTCCCATTGGCCGGGAATGGGGAACCGCGGCCAATGGGAGCTTTGGGAGAGGTACCCACAGGCAAGGGCAGCGCGCAGAGCCCTCTGCCTCCCTCCCCCAGGGGACGCAGGGACGTGATGCCGGACGCTTCTGGGAGTGGCGCAGCGTGGGGCCTGGGCAGGCAGGGAGCCTGCCTTAGCCCTGCTGTGCGCCACTGCCACCCTAGAGCCTCTCCAGGTAAGCGGTGCAGGGCCGGAGCCTGCACCCCGAACCCCTGCCCTAAGCCCCCTCCTACACCCCAACCCCCTGCCCTGAGCCTCCTCCCGCACCCCAACCCCCTGCCCTGAGCCCCCTCCTGCACACCGCACTCCTTCCCCCTGCCCCAGCCCTACATTCATGGCCCTGCATGCAATTTCCCCACCCAGATGTGGCCCTCGGCCAAAAAGTTTGCCCACCCCTGATTTATAGCCTTCAAACCACTACCAGAAGTGATATTTCAGTTACATTGTTGTAGTTCAGTAATAAACACTTCGTTTTAACTTAAGTTTACAATAGTACAAACCAGTGCTTACCTGATATTTATACCTTGTTTGTATATTTTACACGCATCGGAAGGCAGAATTCGGGAAAGTAAAGGCACTATATGTGTAAAAGAAAAGTATTAATACTGAACAAGACATAGTTATATTTCTTAAGTACTTCTGCGCAACAGACCCTATCTCAGCAATATACATTTAATAAAACACTGCAAATTTCACCCATCTTCAGATATTGCTATATTTTAAGTATAGAACTATGCCCAATACACTTTTATTGAAATTGTACCTAAAATTACAGTGTTGCAATCAAGAACTGAAAAATGAACAAATACCCTGTAGTGAAATAGATTGCCTTCAGCATCACACAACAGCTTAAAATGCTCTCAAGCCAACTGAACCAGATACAGGTTCCCAACCATTTGCCTCCTGGCTACTTATATTTTAGTCATGATCTCAGAATTTCCTTTATGTCTCTATTATATTGGCTAAAAAGATTAGTTACAGTTAGACTGTATTGAAACCACTGAAATGGAAAGTGCATAGTGTAGCATATCTAAAACTTCAAGTGAACATTAAACCAGCAGTGAAACTGGGCATCAGGACAGTCCTATCATATTAATAAGTGAGAAGACAGATATAACACAGCTTACTGCATTTTTAAAAGCATCATTTCTTTTACTGCAGTAAAACAGTTAATGGTTAAAAATGCCCCACAATGTTCTGAGTGGCATTATAAAGGCACAGGACAAATTGCAGTCAGTTGAACCTACTGAGAAGGGGAATAATTGTTCTGAAACGTACTGTCCAGGATGTCTTATTCTTATGAAACTGGATTTACACAAAGAGGGGTTCGACCCTAGATTAGCAGAATGGGGTGGTTTTGGGAAAGCCATTAGAGGATGCACTCCACTCAAGATCGTGCTGCTCACCATTGTGGGAGATTGGTGGTGGAACCACAATGCAGTTCTGGCTATACTCCTGGTTCCTATTTTCCTAGGCAAAGGCTGACTGACATATCAAGGCATTGTGAATCAGGCCTCAGCATCACCACTCTAGGAAGGCCTGGTTCCCACCCTGTCTGGCCCTTTCAGATACTGCACACCTATACAGAAAGGTGCAGGTGTCAGCTCAACAGGCAGAGCACAATTTACTTTGCAACACTCCAAGTTGTTGCTATATGCACATCTGCTCAACAAATTTTCATAGCTCAGCAGGTGCTTATTTTTCCATGCAAATTGGCTTTGAAATTCTGCACACATCATCTAAAAGGAAGGGAGGTCTCTGTGGGGTTTAATTTTTTTCTTTAAGCAATGCTGGAGTCTAATTTTAGGGGGATACTACAGATTCCATTTCTTTGCACCTATCAGTACATAAAGGTAGGTATTATAGTTCTTACCCCAACTTTGAAAATCCCAGTGAAGTTCTAGATAGAAGTCACCTAGCTGTGAAAAAAATATGAATGTATCATTAGCCATATTGACAGCTGTTTAACATTTCTGGGAAGACACGCGAAATGCAAATGTCATCTTGGGAAAGGCTAGATAAAATGAAGACAGGGTATAACTGAATAAAAAAAAAAATCTAGCTTTCGTTCCTCCAATGTCATCATCTGAAAAACAATTAAATTAACATTTCTTGATTCCAACTAGAGCGAAGTGAATATGATGAAGTTACAAACTGAGAGGCTAAACTGCCCATTAGTAGCTTATATTTCTGAATTTCTTTTATTTGCAATCATTCAAGGGGGAAAAAAAAAAAACTAAGTACATGACTCCAATTAGCTAATCCTCTCCGAGACTGCCAGGAGTGGGAGGGGTCTCGAGTCTATATAAACCAGACCCAGCTCATTCCATAGACAGAAGATGAGGCAGCAGCCAAGAAGACTAGGCGGCTGAAGAACTGCCAATGGTGGGAGGAGGAGGAGGACCAGTTCCAGAAAGGGGCAGGCAGGAGGAGAGGCACAAATGTATGAAAACTTGGTACAGGATGGGGCCTGTCTCCCTAGGAAACTTTGGACTAGCTTGAGAGGTAAGAGAACAGATGGGGAAATAGGACTAAAGATTTTGGCTGTGGATGATATACAAGAGATATATCAGTATTTAGTTTAAGTACTCGGATATTTTCTCTGGCTTCTTTTCTTCCTTTCTCCTCCCTCCCCCTGACCCTTTCCTTTCTGTGGTGGTCAGATCATCCTGGATCACCAGACAATGGCTTGGTGACATTTAGAGCTGTGGGATTTAGGGTTTAGCTGGAGGGCCAAGTAACCTTAGTGACTGTCTGCCAGTCTCACTGGGGCTGGTGAGAAACTGCACAGATCTGTTTTACAGATACAGATTTTAAATGGATGTGGACTCAACCCCCTATTTTCCACAAGCCATTCCACATTTTACCACTGACCCAAGGGAAGTTGAAAGCACCTGTGATGTTTTATAGCAGCTAGTGTTCTAACAAGAGCACAGGCAGCAGCAATTTGAAACTGGACAGAATCTTTTAATCCTAGGGTATGTCTACACTACGGGATTAATCCGAATTTAGATAATTCGAATTTGGGAAACAGGTTGTATAAATTCGATTGTGCGCGGCCACACTAAGCACATTAATTCTGTTTTTAACCACATTAATTCGTTGGTGTGCGGCCACACTACCCCATTAATATTAACCACATTAATTCGGTGGTGTGCGGCCACACTAACCCTAATTCGAATTAACAAAATCGATTTTGGCGCTACTCCGCTCGTCGAGGTGGAGTACAGAAATCGATTTAAAGCGCCCTTTAATTCGAACTAAATGGCTCTGTTGTGTGGACGGGTGAAGGGTTAATTCAAATTAACGCTGCTAAATCCGAATTAATCCCATAGTGTAGACCAGGCCTTAGTTTCATATTACTGCTTTGGGGAAAGCATTACTGTGCACAGGCAGAGTTAGGCAGCTGCACACAGAGGTACATTTATTTAAGTGAAAGACTAGGCTAAAAACTCACTGCTATGAGTGCACTGACAGAAAGGGGGAAGGAAAAGAAAAAAGGTTCAATGTTACATGTAGTAAAACTGATAGCTGAAAGAGGTGAGCATATCAGAAACAAAATCTGGTGTAAGAAATAGAGTTATTCCAAAAGAGAGAAGCTTAAAAACCTAATCCAATACAAAATAAGTATCCTTCTAACTTTTATGTCACATTGAAAGCCCTGGCTTAATTACTGCAAACCATAGGAGATGGATAATTCCTCCTTACATAAACTGAGCTTTTAGAAATTGTTATAACAGTGGAGGAGGAACTCCTGTGTCCCAAAGCCTCGTTGGCACTTTTAGGCGGTTTCCGCAGAGCACCTAGGACTAACCGGGCATAGAGCTTAAGCTCTCTTCTTATCCCTAGAGATGTGTGCTCCAAAACATGAAGCTATGAAACTGAGCCAATAAACAAGAGGAGGGACACAAACTATTTCACAGCATGCACCACCCACTCTCCCATTCAGGATGCATGTACTGTCTCCCCACCTATTTGCAACCACAACTTTGCTGGGGCAATCACATCAGTTTGTTTACATAGAAAAGTATTAGGAAGCACTGGCTATATCTTAATACTGCAACACTATGGAACCATTGGAAATAATCAACATATGTGACCAGCCACTTCACCATGAGTGATAATGAACAACAATTTGGGAACCAGTGCACTAGTGACAGTCAAAATGAACAATGAAAATGCCAGACACTGTGTGTGTCTGTATAAACTACGACACTCCAGTGATTCATTAGGGCTCTGAACCTGCCAAATGAAAAGTAATGTCAATTCCTGTGAGTAACTTTAAAATTAAGCATTTGATTTCCTCAAGTATAACTCCAGCATTTAGCACATTTAGATTAACTAACTAAAGAATCTCTGAAAATTTAATAGTGAGAGAAGTTACCTTACCACAGTACTTTTTACTCTAGAAATGTACTGCCTCCACATGTCCCCACTAAGAGATCATCTGCACCACCATGTGGTGATCAGGATCTCTTTCAAGGCAAAGAAAACATACTTCCTCAAAGGGTTACCTGGTTTGAAATGGGCTCTCCTGGAGAGTAGCAGGGCACATGATAGTGTGGATCAGTGTCAACATAATAAAAGAATAATTGTCATTTATCAACAGTTTCCTTAAGCTTACCTCTTTCAGGGCTTTTAATAATCGAGGTCGCTTTTCTTCAACACTTTCCCTGGACTGCTGTTTCAGCTTCCTTAGGAGTGCTGTAACTAAATAGAAGAGTACTGTAAATCAAATATTTTGCTCAGATTGTGAACCCCTCAGGACAGGAACTCATTTTCCAGAGCTTTTCAAATATTGAAAAATGTAAGCAAGTGTCTGTTTCATCAGACATTTTAAATATGTAATTATATATAGCTATATTTGAATCACAGCAGCAAGAAAGCCTCAGTAATCCTGTTTTGCAACATAATCAGTATATGTAAGTTCATGGCAACACTTCTAGCTGCATCCCATTTTTGCTTGCATACTACTGGACATGCGTCCGTGGAAGACATTAATATTTACTTCTATGGGGAGAAAGCCTCAGCACAGAGGAATGCCCTGTGTTTAAAATGCTGGTAGTATTTACAAATGACCAGCAAAACATTAAGTTGTGTGCTATGAGAAGCAGTAAAACAACAAATAATGAAGTACTTAACTGCCATCTAACAACAGGTGGCAGTGGGCTAATTTTGATCCTTACTGCTTCACTTGAGAGCAAAATGGATAAGTAACTCACTCAACACAGCTTGTGACTTAGTCCCCCTGGTCAGCAGAGAACCAAAGACAAAAGTAGTATCCCACTGGCAGTGGTTACATGTTATCTGCACACACACTCCCTCCCATTAATCACAACTAGAAACTGCACTTGAGATATTTAACACATAGCTGGTTGATTAACTTTTAAGAGGCATTAAAATGTCCCAATGGTCTACAGTAAGAAATAGCAGAACGTGAGTGAATCACATTGTTACCTTGGCTTACGATTTTACTCTTATTTAGAAAAGGTCAGTTTGTTGTTTTTACATCCACTGAAAAACAAGGTCTTAAACATACTAAATTTCTGTCTTCACTTTAATACAGTTTAGCTTACTACCACTCTGGTGCTATCAGGACTAGGGAAACTGTGTTTAGCAGAGATATTAATTAACAGTTAACTAACATTTTTAAACACCACAGTATCCAGGGTAGACAAAGGCAATAGCATTTATCTAAATAAATGTTAACTAGTTGCAGTCAACCTTAGAGGGGGCCTTAACAACCAACTAACACTGTCTTTGTCTACACAAGGTGCCAAGTAATACTCTTCATGTCAGCTAAACAGACTTCATTTCCTAGGCTAAGAAAGACCTCTGTTTACATCAACCAATTAATCAGCTAAGATTTCTTACTCATTTGTCTGTCTCCATAGCTGATGGCTTCTGCAAGAGGACTCCATCCCTGAGCATTTTTCACCTTTACTGGAGCATTGTGGGCCAAAAGCAAGTGTGCACATTCTGTAACAGAACAAGTAGTAATATTTATTTACAGCAAACACTATAGTTTCCTTTAAATATTCTGTAAGGGGTCATTAAAAATAACCCTTATTCCTCTTCCCTTCAGCTGTCAGGATTTTATAGGGAAAAGAACCTTGTGAGTCTTTTAGATGGTAATAACTGTCCTTTCTGGAGAAAAGCAGTTGAGATGGGCTGGAACTGTTGCTGTTAAACTCTGATCCAGATTCTCTTCCTCTCCCCCCACCTCCCCACAAACACAAAACAACAGCAAGGACAGAAAATGCAGCTTCTGTCTCTGGTACTGACTTACTTGCAATCTGACTGCTAGAGAAACATTGGCAGAACACCGGTCTTATCAGCTACTCTGAGATTTGGCAAACTTGCACCAGTGTCAGGCTGGCTGTTTAAAACACTGCCGTTAGCTGACCTCTAGTCCTAGGCTCACTGCACTGCTGTGAGACAGACAGACTTAGCCAGCTAACACTTTTATTAAAGAGAAGGCACAAAATACAATAGAAGATAAAAGGTGGGAAAGAAAAATGACATGAAGGTGGGGGGTGACAGCAGGAACCAAAGTCTCATATTCCAGGTGGTGTTCAGAATGCAGGCAGAGCCACTGGAGGTGAACATCATCCAAGTCTCTCTCTCTGGCCAGATCTGATTGGGTCATCTCACAAATCAGGCCTAGTTTCCAATGCACCAGTTTCACAAAAATAGTGTGTCACCCTTGATGACCAGAAATTGTCAAGACTATAGCTTTCTCTCTCCTCAAAAGCTATAATAGGGCATAGGTTAATAGAGAACTGTGAAATCTACTGAATTACCCAGACCACTGTCTCTAAAACCCTGAGGTTTTTCTTGGACATTCCCATTCAAGTACTGACCAGGCTCAATCCTGCTTAGCTATTGAGATTTGAAATTGCATCTCATGATTGAGAGCATATCCAATTTAATTTAAAACCAAACAGCTAGTTTCCTCAAACAGATGTTGTTCAAACATGATTTTACATTTACTCAAGATGCAGAGACTGTACACAAATAGAAAGATTAATTGCATTGTGCCTCTAACGTCTATTGATCTAAAAGCCAGATTCCCAATGGGCATACTATCATGTTCTTGATGGTTATACTTCTAAAGACATCTGTCACTTCTGGATGATAAAAGAGATTTCTCTGAGTTCACTTAGCTGATGTGTTGAGCACATCCTTTTGCCTCAAAAGCAGTCTTAGGAGATAAGAATCACATGTACCCACCTCTTACATATAAGAGTTTAACTGGTACACCAGCAGAAGCATGCCAAAGTAACTATGATAAATGTTTCAATGGAAAAATTCCAGAGGGTCCCAGTGACAGCACAATGCTAAAAAGTCATTTGAATCATATTCTTGGTCTTATGCTCCAAAAGGGAGCATCCTGACAAGGAATTCTTTCCAGTTCTACTACAATGCCCCTAACATCCAAAATAAAAGGGAAGCAGAAATGCTCTTAAAAGGGGTCTGGTTCCACTTTGGTTGGAACTATGATAGCCATCATGCAATATATACTTTAAAATGGACAAAGGCTGAATGTGTTACATTTGCCATGTCTCATTATTTACAACAGACACTTTGGAGTCATTTACAGGCAGTATATGTATTGAGAAGAGCTACTAGACACATCTAGCACATATATAAAAATGAAATTTGAGCAACTATAATTTTGCCCTTAGTTTTCAGAAGTTGAAAAAATATTTTTAAACGCATTCACACTTCAATAGCATGGTCACACAGTTCATACAGCCTCCTCCTTCTACTTTCTACCCTTAATTTTGCTTTCATTATTTACTGAGACCTATGTTTCTGAGGCTTCTCTGCCATTAGCATTCCATGAGCTTAAATTATTAAGTACCACAAACAGGTGCAATTATGATGTGCTATACAAACACCAACCAAAGAAGAGTAAAGTTATGCAGTCACCTGGTATATGAGATCCTGGAAATCATGATCTAATGGACAGAGCACAAGGCTAAAAGCAATGCATTCTTGAGTTTAATTCATGCTATGATTTGCTATGTGGCCTTGGGCAAGTCACAATCTTTAAAACGGTGACAATACCTACCTACCTACACAAGGGTCTTGTGAGGATGAGTCAACATTCATGGAGTATTGATTATTAATAATGCAACCCAGCTTTACTTAATATAGCTGAAATCTGGAAATATCAGATACTATTTGTACCAATAAGACTTCTATATGAAGCTTAATTGAAAAGTGTTCAGCTACCAAAAAAAAAAAAAAAAATCTTCTTAAAAGACATACCTAGATCAGACTCTAAAAATTGATTTAAATTTAAAATTGCCGAACTACATTGATATTTACTCAAAAAATGGTAGAGGACATAACTATCTAGAAACAGGTGGGGTGAACACCCATTTATCCCACCGAGATTATCTTAATATATAGTGTATGCTATTTATGGGAAAACTTTGATAAAAAGCTTCCCTTAGAAATTTGGAGCTACCTGTCACATACTAACATCTTAAGATGTTAGTATCAACACTTAGTATACACGTATAATGCGATTTTAAAGCAACAACAACTAAAAGGTTAATTTCACCCAACCTACCTGAAAATGATCAAAAGCATTAATCTCAGCTGGTCCTTGATTTTGTTTCCCTAGTTTTGTTTTGTTTTTTTAATGAGAGTTTCCCCTCTCTCCTGCTTTCTGGTACACAAGCAGCCAGCTGGGAAAAACACCCTAGCTTCTGTTGCTTAGCCAACTCACATGAAGCAGCCCACCTGTTTCAACCGCCCCTCCTCTTCCTGTTGGGGTTTAGCTATGCGAGAAGAAATGGCAGCACCTTTTCCCACCTGCCAGGAGGGCTACTTCCTGTCTTCGTTCAGGGTGAAGATGGAAAAGCACCTCTGGTCGTGCCTCTTTTCTCTCACCTTTCTAACTCTAGGACCCTCCAGATCTCACTGTTTCCTGATAGCTCTGTAAGAAGAGGAAAGCCTTCTCCATCTATTCTCTTATTAGACTCTCAGAAGAGTGCCCAGTGAATGCCCACCTATTATACCTCATTTTCCTGTCTCCAAAGACCTCCAACCTGCTCTCATTCATTCCTTAGCTCCTTCCTGCCACCTTGATTTTGACATCTTTACCCCCAATCTCTCAAGTTTATTTTCTATTCTCATGTATCCTCTTGTTTCCTGGAAGCCTCCGCACTTGTAACTGAACACATTCAATTAAAGTCTATTTTTTTAAGTCTTCAACTTTTCCAATCATTTCTCTTCCCTAAAATCTTGAGAGAAATCTGAGAATATATGATACTTAAAGTAGTTTTACCAACCTTTATGTCCCAACATCACAGCAAGATGTAACGGAGTGTTTCCTGCAGTGAGGGGGGGAAAAAGGGAGAACATTAGATTCACGGTACAAGAATCCATGAGACTTTCTTCAGGAGTTGGCTCTTCTGTCTCAAGGAAGGCTCATATCTAACTCAATTTAACAATGTGAGAATGTAACAATCTATCAATGATACCATAAATATATAAAAGTTACAAGGTTATTCTTTTTAATTAATGATTCCTTTGATACAAAAACTGTAACATGTTAATATACTTCTACATTAAAAGTGTTTCAAGAAGAGAGTTTTCTGTATCATTTACATCTTGAAATTTGCTTCTAGCAATTCAAACAGGAAAAAAAAAAAGTCTGATTCTACTTTTAGGAAAGTAAAAGAACTATAGCCCAAACCACCTTATTTGTTGAAAAGTCTCAAATTGTATCAAGAACAGCAGATCTAGGGCAACAACTTCACATAAGAAAGTTATTCTGATAAAATTTTAAAGAGCATGTGTGATGCTGGCAAACAAGGTGCCAGCTCATGCCAAAGCCCCTAGGCCTCCCTGAACACTGACAAATGCATAACAGGTGAACCAGACTGGTTTCCAGCGTGTTAGTACTGTTAAAATAGATGTTAATTTTATAAGAATGGGTTTAGACTTTATGAAATGCTTGTAGGAGGCTGCATGTATAAATCTGGTACCCCATGTGATAAGGTTACATTAACTGTTTGCATTGTAACCCTCTGTAATCATGTCAGTCATCTAACAGGAAAGGAGCATTAATTAATCTAGGAATGCTGGCTTCATACAAAAGGTGCTGGGTTCTGCCCAGGAAGAAGGCCCATTGAAACCAAATGAGATATTATGAAACATTAAAGAACAAAGACTTTGTTGATTGCTCCCCCACATACCCATGAAGAGGAGACTGGAGGTGGCCTAGTCCCACCAACTTGAACTCTGGATGAAGGGAATAAAAATCCCTGACAAGAAGGAATTGTATCTCTATGGTGCTTGAACTCTGAGGGAAGAAGATTTCTAAGCACAAGCCAGGGATCCCCAGCTGTTTGGTCTGAGTTAGCCCTAAAGGACATATTGCAGCAACTTCTATTACCCTTTTGGAAACGAAGACTAACTCATTTGTGTGTGTATTTTTACAGCTTTAACCTTGTAAATAGTTAATAACTCTTTAGTTAATTTAAGAAAAAAAGTTATGATAGGATTGGCTACAAGCGTTGTCTTTGGTATAGGATCTAAAGTGCAACTGACCTGGGGTAAGCGACAATAAGTAACCTGAATATTGTTGTGATTTTTGGGATAAAAGACCATCTATCACAAAGGAAAGCTTGAATGGCAAAGCTTGGATGGCAAAATAGACCAGAGTACCCAAAAGAACTATCTGTGACTCCATGTTAAGTTTGTTATAGCGCTTGAGGAGTTCACACTTGATTGGTGAAATCCAAGTATAGAACTCAGTCAGTTTGGGATTTGTGCACTGCTTCTTCAATCTGTCCTGAGATTGGTACTCACACCTGTGAGCAACTTTAGAGAGTCTGATAGTATGTTTTATTAATTTTTTTTCCAGACATTCAGTGGTTTGAGCATTGGCCTGTTAAACCCAGGGTTGTGAGTTCAATCACTGAGGGGGCCATTTAGGGATCTGGGGCAAAAATCTGTCTGGGGATTGGTCCTGCTTTGAGCAGGGGGTTGGACTAGATGGCTTCCTGAGGTCCCTTCCAATCCTGATAGTCTATGATTCTATGAATACTAAACCAGTTTGACTAGTATGGAATTAGACAGCTAGTGGAACGTAATACTCCACCCTTCAATATGAAGACAGTGTGACTGGTTAGAGCAGAGGTCCCCAAACTGTGGGGCACCCCCCCAGGGGGCACAGAGAAATGTTCGAGGGAGCACGGCTGGGGCCTGAGCCAGCCCCATGGGGGGCAGGGAGGGAGCACCACCCAGCTCCACTCCTGGTCTGCGCATGGAACCCCAGCTGCCTTCGCCCCCTTACCTCTGTCCGCGTTCCCTCCCCCCGAGGCTCGGGGGGGGGGAGGGGGGGGGACCTGAGGTAAAATGTAACGAAAAAAGTCTCAGTGGTCAAACAAACATAGTAAGGCCATCAACAACACTTGATAAGTATCCAATCTGCATAACTTCCTACTTTGGGATGAGGGAAGGGGAGACAGTATTGCTAAAGGCAGTCAATCCTTCAGGTTACTTAAAAGGCTTAAAATAGACTTGTCACTAGATACTTTAGGGGAAAGTATAAGAATAAACTGCTACTAAACAACTGGAATAGTAACAACATTTCCAAAGAAAAAGGGAATAGAGAACTGTAATTAGATCTCTGGACAGTTCCAACAACAAAACAAACACAATTGTAATTTTCCATATTAAAAATCCCTAGTTCTAAATTTACACTTTGACAGGGATTTCTTACCTAAGTATTGAAAAATACAAGGGCGAGGAAGATAATGCATCTTGAGTGCCTCTAAATATGCCACAATACATCATTATATATACAAAATTTCAACTACTATGTTACAGAGTGTAGATTCTAAGTGCAGGAACTGGAAATGTTTACCTTCTAGAAAGGGAATGATCTTTATAACCCTTGTGATACTCTACCCCCCAGGGGAACGCCCTGTAACCCCTATATTCATCATTTGTATATAAAATTGTGATATTGCATATAAAGCATTCCTGGTAAGGTATCATGGGAAAAGTTATGATCTGCTGAAACCCACTGTTCCATCTAAATATGTACATCATTAATGCATATTAAGTTATGAAATTGTGTTGTATGGTTCTCAGTAATATATGTTGTGGGTTTGGGAAGCGCCCAGATACTAGCTCCCCAAAGACAACAACCAGGGGGATAACCAACACCCGGACAGGTGTTGAACAACCATCAACAGCCATTATCCAGCAAGGGAGCTACAATGCAATGACTCACTTGCACAAGGCCACTCCAGGGGAATTGCTTAACCTTGCCTGGTGCTGACTCAGCAATGGCCACAAGACATGCCTGGATTTGTGTTCTCCAAGCACATGGACTAAGGGTATAAAACAGAACACAGTGGCCTCGTGCTTGGCCTTTTTTCCTCCCCCCACCTATGCTGCAAGCAACAAGGACTCTCAGAAGACTCCAACAGAGGAGATTGGCCCAGGTTTCAAGGGTGAAACCTGTGTACTATGAACTGCAATATCCGGCGGGGTGAAAGAAACTGCTTTATCTAGATGTTGCCCAGTCTCATAGGGTTGAGAGTTTAGACTACAAGCTTATATTTTATTTTGTAACCACTTAAAATCTATCTTTTGTAAACAATAAACTTGTTTTACTGTTTATCTTTAACAGTGAGTTTGCCTGAAGTGCTTGGTAAATCTGCTCAGGTTTTCAAAGGCTGGTGTATATCCACTTTCCATTGATGAAGTGGTGAACCAATTAATAAACTTGCATTGCTCAAGAAAGGGTCTTGAGCAGTGCAAGACGGTATATTCCTAGGGTACAAGGCGTGGAGGATTTGGCTGGTGCCTTTCTCTGAGATTCATGCAGCTAGGTGCGGGGCTCCACACGTGGTTGTACTGAATGGTAACAGCACCTGGAGGGGTTTGCTGCTTGTCACTAGCAAAGCATTGTGAGAGAGAGCCCAGGCTGGAGAGTTAAGGAGGCACAGCAGTCCCAGGCTGCACCCCGGGGATCCCGTCACACCCTTAACCTCCAATACTCCACCCCCTAGCTCTATTATAGTTAATTAGAATTGTAGCGTCCTCTGGGTAGGTGCCACCCCACTCTTTTTTCCCCCCTTTGGCCTGTCGAGCATCATGCTCACCTATGAAGCTGTACAGTAACTCCTCACTTAAAGTCATCCTGATTAACGTTATTTCATTGTTACGTTGCTGATCAATTAGGGAACATGCTCGTTTAAAGTTGTGCAATGCTCCCTTCTAACGTCGTTTGACAGCAGCCTGCTTTGTCCACTGCTTGCAGGAAGAGCAGCCCATTGCAGTTAGCTGGTGGGGGCTTGTAACCAGGGTGGACCGGCAGCCCCCTATCAGCTCCCCACTCCCCTAAGTTCCATGTGCTGCAGCTGCTCAGCAGGCTAGCAATTTCAGGCTATCAATCGGCAGTTCAGCTGTCCCTCCCCCCCACTACCATGTGCTGCTCCTGCCCTCTGCCTTGGAGCTGCTCCCAGAGACTCCTGCTTGCTGTGCAGTGGTTGAAGGGGGGGCTGTCAGGGTGTCCCCCTCCCCCCACTCCTGCACCCCACTTACCCCTTCTCCATATACAGCAGGGAGGGGACACGGACAGAGAGAGACAGAGAGAGCTTGGGGCACAGCTGCTGTCTCAACTTCCTGATCCACTTAAAAAGACAATGCACTTAAGAATGGGTCAGCTTACTTAAAGGGGCAGTGTGCATCTCCCTCTCTCTCTCCCACACACACACAAGGTGTGTGTCTGTCTCTGTCTGCTATGCTTCTCCCCTCCCTCGTGTTCGTGCTACCTTGTGTGAGAGGCTACATTAACAACGTGATAACCCTTGAGGGCTCAGCCAAGTGCTAGTTCATCATTTAGCAGTAAGGCATTCCCTGGGAAATATCCCACCCTCTTCCACCCTCTAACTTCACCACCTCAACCAACCTTCACAATCATCATAGCCGTGAACAGTATTAAATTGTTTGTTTAAAATGTATACTGTGTGTATATCTATTTAATATATAGTTTTTTGTCTGGTGAAAAGAATTTCCCTGGAACCTAACCCCCTCATTTACACTAATTCTTATGGGGAAATTGGATTCACTTAACATGGTTCCACTTAAAGTCGCACTTTTCAGGAACATAACTACAACGTTAAGCGAGAAGTTACTGTAGCTGAATGGAATTTATAAAACCACCAGCTTCTGCTCTTCAGAATGATCAAGGTGATTACACGAGTGCCAGCAAAATGCTTATTAAAAAAGGGACACCACGGTAGTTCAGGCCTCAAGGTGTAGAGTTCAAGAAGTTTATAAAACCTAAATGTTTCCACTAATTTGAAGTCAACACTTTTTTTCATTGAAATTTAATGTCCTCCAACAGTGTTTGCTACACAAATATGCACTAACAAAGCTGTGGTAAGAACTAGAAAGGGAGATCAATACTTCCCTATTTTTCTTATTGCTACACACATCCACTAGAATTATACTATCTGCTCCAAGCTGAATGAAATGAGTAGTAAAGTGTCATAAATAAGACTCCTTCAGGCAAAAATTTTCAAACCTGAGTGCATAAAACTAGGCTTCTAAATAAGTCCACACTTGAAAAATCAGGTCAAATTTATTTAGGAGCTTACTTTTAGATATACATTTTTTAAAAATCTTGGTCAAAGGTTTTACTTTTAACACAAACATTTTTAATGCAGTTTTAATCCTGACAGTTTCTCTTTTATTATTAGTTGGAACAATGATAGTGTATAAGACAGACAATGCAGCTATGAAGTTCTTTGAGAATAACCATACTGACTCAGCAGAGAGCTTCCATTACTGTTTGCAAGTCACATGGTCGATGGGAGTGCTGCCAGCACAAACCCCAGGTCTCACTCCACAGGCTGGCCTCTCAACATGCTGATGTGGCAGCTGAGGCTCCCTGTTCACATGGGTGCCTAGAACTGAGGCTCCTGGGGGGAAGGGTGGGTAGGGGTCATGGGCCAGAGGAGTAAGGTTGATGAGGGGGCCCCATGCACCCTTGAGGAAAAAGGAAGGTTCAGGCTAGGGGGGAGGGGAGTGGAACTGACCCTTTTTTCTGCCTCGTAGAGGTGACGCCATTTGGACCCGGACCAGGTTTGCCGCCTCCTCCCATCATGAGTCAGAATTTGGGGGTGGAGGACGGGGGGGAGGCAGGCCAAACTTCAATAAGTAGCATTGTGACCTTGCACACAAGGTTGCAGCACTGCTCAGGTTTTGCACCCTAGATAGTTGATGTTCTCCTGGACGGTCATGGCAATCAGACATGTGGGGCTTCTGGGAGGTGTCCAGTTTCTCGGGTCCCTCAAGGAAGGTAAGGAGCCCCCCCCAATTTCCATAGTGTACAGTGCCCCAAAATTCTTCAATCTGGCCTTGGGGGGAGAACATAAGCAAAATTCCTTAATTCATTTGAAGTTCTGGTGTTTAGTATGAACTGGAGTCTAATTGGGTCAGTCCAACAGGAACTTCTCACCCTCTTATAAAAAATGAAATACAAATAATCAATGTAGCTATGCTAATGCAACATCAACTTTGCACATACAAAAAGCAAGAAATGCCCAATTACCAACAGAAATATCAACTCACCCGTACTGCAGACATGTAGCATTTTCTATTCCTATTTTTTTGGCTACATGACTGTGACACTCTCCAGGAGCACCCAGGTTTGTAAGGCACCTTGCTATCACCTACCCTTAGCGTGAAGAACCGTGTCAACTCTCTGACTCCACTGGCAACACAAGCACTCTCTCTTCTTAGCCTTTCGCAGGTTCCACTTTCCCTCTACACTGGTTAGCAACAGGCATACTCCAACTCCCAAGTCCTCCGAGCACCTCCCGGGAGTGTCCAGCCCCTGGTCCACTGAACAATCACAGAATTCACAGATTCACTACTCCCAAAGGAACAGTATGCCCAGCTTACCAGTTACTCCTTAGATCACAGCTCCACTTAACACACAGCACATTAGGTATGTTTACAGTGTAAATGAGCAAAAGTTTATTTAAGTAAAGATTCTAACAACAGCAAGTAGAAATATTGGAAACAAATGGTTACATATTAAATAAAAACATATTGCATTCTAGAACCTAGATTTAACTAGTCACTGTCATGTCTTATAGAGCAAAAGCTCACCTAAAATCCTTCCAGCATGTTACAGGCAGGCTTGGCTATGATCTCCTGTTCATGAGAAAAGCAACGCTGGCAGCTTGCCTCCTCAGTGGAAAAGATCCAGGGGGTACCTCTGCACCCCACATATACTCCAACAATCCATTGCCTTTACTCATAAACAAGATACCATCCCACTGTTTTATTTCTTCCTGTAAACTTCCTCTTGATTAGCATTTTGAATCTGAATGCAAACATACAATATCCACATAGGGAGGTAAGTGTCTATTGGCTCCTTCCAGGTAGGGGATAGTCTTACACATGTCACCTTCTGTTTACCTGCCTCAACTCAAAAGGTTTAGAGAACATAATTTCCAGTAGAGATATACAATTTCTTAAATATTATCTATACATACATTTTGAAATTATTATGACAACCAGCGGGCTACTGGCTCACAGTAGAAACTTCACATAACACCCTTTGGTGAATTATTATGCATATCCCTGATCTAGTAGGATCCCTGTAAAACTCTATGCACCCCGTCCCCTCTGCCAAATGGCATCAAGAGGCCCCTGGATCACAACATGTAGTATATTTTGTAGCTCTGTCATGAAGTATGTACCATGAATTATACAGAACATTGTTCTTCTGGGTTAATGTATTGGAACCTTACCTTCTGAATTCCCTGACTGATTTTATTTGTGCAACCTAATGTTGCTATATTTTTCCATTTAACTGCATACCGTTAACTATTCTATTGATTTTTAGCAAATTTTTTTATTGAAACTAAAAACTAATAGAAACAGTAAACTTGCATTTCTTGTAACTATGCGTAAGTCTGGGTGCACTTGTCACTTTAAAGCAGCACTGCAGAAAACAGAAAGTGCTAGCACCATACGCAAGGAAGTGATATAATTTCTTGGTATACTTTTGTAAGAAATAACCCCAAAAATTCATAGCCTCTCTCTAGGCCAGGGGTAGGCAACCTATGGCACGCGTGCCAAAGGTGGCACGCAAGCTGATTTTCAGTGGCACTCTCACTGCCCGGGTCCTGGCCACTGGTCCGGGGGGCTCTGCATTTTAATTTAATTTTAAATGAAGCTTCTTAAACATTTTAAAAATCTTGTTTACTTTATATACAACAATAGTTTAGTTATATATTATAGACTTATAGAAAGAGACTTTCTAAAAACATTAAAATGTATTACTGGCACGCGAAACCTTAAATTAGAGTGAATAAATGAAGACTCGGCACACCACTTCTGAAAGGTTGCCAACCCCTGCTCTAGGCACTAAGTCAATAGCTTCATACCTATGGCTTTAAAGCAGACATCATAAAATCTCTGGCCCAGACAGGTGAACAGTCACCAACAGAGAGGTCATAAATGCAACTTCATGAATCAGTCAAAAAGATGTGCTGTGAAAACCATTCCTCTCTCTAGGTCACTAACAGCATCTCAGACTGGTATGTCCTAGTTCCTTATGCAATATCAACTCACAACAGCCAAGCTAACAATCACTTATTATAAGAATATTTTTGCACCAAACTATGATCTCTGCAGAATGCAGGAAATGGTCACTTAATTATGTGACCTCACACAAGGAAGTAGCCATTCTACAATAGAATAAGTTTAACATCACAATCCAACACAAGTGATCTAAAAAAATAAATAAAATATGAGTCAGGAGTGAGCAGGGATTTAAAAGTCCACTCACCTATGCACCTGTGGTGAGTAGGAATCTTTTCCGTACAAATACCATCAGCTTCTGTAGAATCTAAATTTTTCATTTAGAATATTAAGCCTTATGATTCCAAAAATTCTTCCAAATGTGAACCAAGCATATACTCACTTACAGAAAATTGACTTCCCAGTCTGCACACAGGCAGAGCTCCAATGCCTGGGATAGGTCTCAGCACTTTGCCAACCTATAACAAAATGAAAACTAACCAGAGCCTTACTACTTTTCATAAGTGCTATTCAGAACTCTGACCAAATTCACTCTACCGGTGACTGGGAAAGCTCTCAGCAACAGATGCAGTCACTGGAAATAGTCAGCAGGAAAAGGGACTTAAAAAAATAAATTAAAAGATCATGGAAGAGTAGAGTATTGCTCTTATTTATTATTTGAATTGTGCTAGTGCCAAGGAGCCTCAGTCGGAGACCAGGACTGTGCTAGGCACTGTACAAGAACATAACAAGCGGGGTCCCTGCCCCAAAGCTCTTGCAGACCAACTATAAGACAATAGAACAGGTTGATATGACAGATGAGGGACGACAAGGAAAAAATGAGATACACACATTACGTTAGCCAGGAAGCTAGAGGAGAGGTAAAGTAACAGATTCTCAACTGTCATTACAAAAGTCAGGAGGTTCTAGTGTGAGGAAAGTCTGGGGTAAGAAAAGAGGAAGTTCTCCTTTTTCCCCAGCAGCCAATTTATCAGACAGAGGCTGAAGCTCCTTAAGCAAAATCCAGGAACAGTACTCTAATAGGAATCCCAGTACCCTCACCTTTGACTGCAATTTGTTCAGAAAAATATCTTGGCTTCTCACCTGGGCATTGCCTCTGAACAACAAGGCCACCATTCTTTCACATTGGTCCTTAGTCTTCAGTCTATTAGATGCCTGGCCTATGTTTCTGTGAGTAGAGGAGCATGGAGGGAGAGGGAACACTGATGGGATAAGTTAGAAAAAGTTTGGTAGAGGGGGAGAGTCATGAAGGAGATAAGTAAGGGGAAAATGAGGAAACAGTACAAAGCACAACATACGAAGACACAGAAGGTAATGAAGAAACATTATGGTCTATTATGAGAAGAGTGAAAGCAAATGGAAAGGTAGTATAAAAGCAAGAAATGCAAGTTACATTGTAAAAAAATTATATAGATACCCGCCTAACAATGTAGAACATTAGATGAAGTGCACAAACAGAACATTATTTTACTACTATAAATTGAAAAGGGGTTGCTTGAAGATGGGATAGGAGCCTGCTGGCATAGGAATCTTCCACACTGAACAACAGTTGAGAATTTGTTTTTAAAAAGCCATGGTACTAACACCTTATCATTCAAAAATATGCTGATATATGGCCAAATTTTGAGGGCCTTAACTAACCCTCCCATCTTTTATTTTTTAAATCAAGCCCATTAGGTTAGAGTGCTAGTTTCCTAAACTTATTTAAGGATGTGAACATACTGCTTAAAAGTGTGAGGAATATTTACTTGAAAAATGCTTTAGTTTGGAATTAAGAATTCATAATACCATATTATCCACACAGCACTAGTAAATGAACGAAATCAGACAAAAGTGCTTTTTTAAATGTTACAAATACTGGAGCATCTTCTACATAATTATCACAGGATACTCTAAAATGGGGCTGTGGTGATTAATTGGTTTGAAGAGGGCACAAGAGAAGAGGCAGTGGAGTAGAGTAGTATTTCAAAAGTGTGATATCAAAAGACATGGCTGGCCCTGGACCAGATTATGCCGGTAGGGGCACTAAGGTTGAGACAGCTTGAAAAGATAGCAAGAAAATTTTGTACTCATTTGCCATTCCAAAGCAAGTTCAATCATATGACTAATGGAATGATACAAAAAACAAACTGACTTATTAAAATTGAGTGATGGGGTTCTGAATAAGCTATAAACATTGTAGAAACAGCCAAGAGAGCAAGGAAGACCAAAAATAAACCAAAAGCTAATGCACGTGCTAAGGTTTTACTTGCAAAAAGGCTTTACATAACAGCAAGAAGTTGTGTAAAATTATGCACTTGCTATTGCCTGAATGTAAGTGTTCATGCCAGGTTCTGGGTGGTAGTCCTAAGAGCTGAAGTCTTCTATTTTGTTCACCACAAAACAAGTTCAGTACAGGAAATGGCAAACTTTTTCCATGCTTCCCAGTCAGTGTGCCTCAATTCTGACCAGGAAAGACCTCACCTAGGGTTGAAAGGAGATTTATACCACATTTATATTGTGGTAGCACCTGAAGGCCACAGCTAGTTTTGTCCCTATTGTACTCAACACTGTACAGACACAAAAGTGACTGTCCCTGCCCCAAAGGGCGTAATTAACCCAAGAGATCCTGTTTCTCCCTCCCTTGCCCCAAATATGCATTTCTTACGCAAAATTAAGCCTAAAAGATCTGAAAACAAAATGAGAAGCAGAGGATAACTCAGCAATCAATGGATCCTAAAACTCAATAGATGCAGATGAGATAAGTTTCCCACTAGGGCATTAAAAAAAGCAAGAAGCAAGTTTTGAGTCCCAGGAACTAAAATACTTCAGCTCTGTATCAAAAAGAGTGAACACATTTAAATGATGACCTGATCAAAACAGGATGAGGTGTGAGACTTAAAGAAATGACCTTAAAGAAACTAAGAATTCAGTTTGATTTCAGCATGAACAGTGGAAAGATAGTACAATCAAGGATTTTTGTATCTACAGCCCATAGAAGAACTAAAGAAAGTAAAGGTCAAGATGGAAATTGCACCCAGTCACCATACACGCTTAGAACAATGTTTTAATGGAAAGGTGTCTAACAAATATTTTCTCACCCCTAAAAAAGGAGAATAACTATTCCAGTACGAACTACGAGTGACTAGTTTGTAACAGATTATCACTGAAAACCAACCAGGGCACAACTTTTTGCAGAGCACCTCCACTAGCCA